CCCCCCCCGCCCAAACTATGAGTTAGCCAGAATCCAAAACAGTCAAAAGTATATAGCAAAGCTGAATGTAATCTTAATAGAAGTTTCAGTAGCAGGTCACTATTACATTATAGAAGGAATGCAGATAATTATTAAGAGTTGAATGTTATCTTTAAACATTTATTTATTTATTTTGGTCTTTTTGAGACAGGATCTCCCTGTAGCCTCAGTTGGCCTGGAGCTCACTATACAGACCAGGCTGGCCTTGAACTCACAGAGATCCGCCTGCTAATAGTGGTGACATTTATAAGGCACAATGAGATATCTGGATCTATGTATACATAAAGATTAACTTTCCCTAATATGTCTATTGCAAAGTTAAAGAATTTTTGTTTTCTCTTTAACTACCTGAAATTTTAATTGGTATTCGGCACACTAGATTCATGTGCAAGGTCAGGAGACATGCTTCCCTTATGGGCCATTTTAAAAAATTACATTATTTGTGTGTGTGTGTATGTATGTATGTGTATGTATGTACATACATGTGCAGGCATGTGTGTACCATGGCATACGTGGAGGTCAGGACAACTTGCAGGAGTTGGTTCTCTCCTTATGGGTCCCAGGGATTGAACCCGGGTTAGCAGGCTTGGCAGCAAAAGTGCCTTTGTAAGCTGAGCCATCTTGCCAGCCCAGCTTTTCTATGCAGATATGTTTCAAAGGATGTAAAATCTAAACACACATTTAATAAATTATGTTATAACAGCATTTTATTTACATTATTCCAACCATATTTGTCTCCTAGGTAGTGACTAAAGGCACAATTTTTATTTGAATTTACATTCTGGATCACACACATTCATCACTAAGTTGTATCATTTTCTTGATCTTTTACTCAAAATGCTTTTCCCTGAAGATGCTTTAGATTTGTGAGCCTTAACTTGTTAGTTTATAGTATTTGAGACTCTAATGGGCATACTCAATACACTCCTCTTCCCCTGAAATGTTTTATACATCTAATTGTATAGACCCTGCTTGAATAACCTAGATTTTCAGTTTTACCTGTCACCTTCCTGTTGTGACGTTCTAACAACTGAGGTTTTCCCACAGTAATATAGACTGCTCTATAATTAAAAATTAGTCATGAATTCTGCCCCCTCCCATATCAGGTTACCTGGTTTGGCAGGTGTGGACTGAGAAGGTGGAATCTGCACTGCGAATCTTTGGCTTGTCATTGACACTGGAGTTGGAACTTTGTTTGTGACAGATACTGCTTGTGGGGGTGCTGTAGTTATAATGAATAGATCTTATTAGTTAGATGACTTATTACATGTTTATATTCTGCACTCTTTAGCTTACAGCAATATACTTTCAAAGTACAGAGGACTAAAATAAGGGAAGGTGATATCAGAAATGGCAGCAGAGTCATTTTTAAAAAGTTTATGATGGGGGGCTGGAGCGATGGCTTAGCGGTCAAGAGCACTGAGTGCTCTTGCAGAGGACCTGGGTTCGATTTCCAGCACCCACATGGTGGCTATGAACCATCCTTAGCTCCAGTTCCAGGGGAATCCGAAGCTCTCCTGACCTTGGTGGCACTGCACGACACGGGTGCACTCACATACATGCAGGCAACACACTGATACACATAAAATAAAAATAACAATATTTTTTAAAAGTTTTTGATGGGTACTCTTCCCTTGGAACCCCTGTTTACTCAGGAGTTCTCTCTCACTTTTCTTAATAAATCTGTGTTTACTGTGCTAAAATAAAGTTTGATTAGATACTAGAAATTTAGTCTGGAGATGAAACTCAATGGCAGAGTATTTGCCTCACATGCAGAAAGGCCTGGGTTCCTTCTCCAGGACTGCCATAAAAGCTACCCCCCACCAAACCCCCCTTGATTCAGTATAGTGTAGTAAGGACTACAGGCTCTGGAGGCTACCTGCTTGAATTTGAGTCCAGGTTCTCACCTACTCGCTGGTTTCCTTAGGCAAGTTATTTAATCTTTTTGTACCTCAGTTTCTTCATCTGTAAAAGTGGGGACAGTGGTACCCAATTTATAAAATTCTTGAGAATTACATAATCCATGTTAAGCTGTTCAAACAGAATCTAGTATGTAGTATAAGCACTGAATTTAAAGTATATGAAGCCATAAAGAGTTTAAACCCCTAGAATGAGGACTTAAATTTTCAATTAATTGCCTTCAGTATTACTATTAGTATCTATCATTTGCTAAGAATGAGAACATGTCTACTATAACTGTAAAGCTAAATTGGTGTGCATCTTAACAAAAAGATCAAAAGACATCCCTTGGTGTCTGCAGATGGGCAGGAAAAAATTGCACTCCTTTTCAATGTCCATAAAGTTTTATTTTTTGAGACAGGGTTTCACTGTGTAGCTCTGGCTGGCCTGGAACTCACTATATAGACCAGGCTAGCCTCAAATTCAAGGAGATCCACCTGCCTCTGCCTCCTGAATGCTGGGACCAAAGGTGTGCACCACCACATCTGGCCTAATGTTCAGACAGTTTTTAGGCAGAAAGGGATTTTGGTATAAGCTAGTCCAAACCTCTCATCATCTAAATTCTATCCCCTCTTTGTAGGCAGTGTTGGGGCTCAAACCAAGGGCTTTGAACATGTTAGGTAAACACTATCAGCCCTTATCTCTTACTGTAAGATACATCTCAAATAGTCACCCTATTTCTTAAACTCTATCCTCGGTTTGTTCCTTTAGAAGTCTTAAACTTCTGTTTCTGGAATTCCATTAACATGTCATTAGTGTTGTATTATTATATCTTATCTCATTCACTAGCTTGCCAGCCTTGGCTAACATTTTATCTCTATGAACACATGGGTCTTGTGCTTTGGATCTAACAGAGGGTGGGCAGAGGCAGGCGGGTTGTGGTGAGCTTAGGGTCAGTTTAGGATGGTCTACATAGCGAGTTCCAGGCTAGCTGGGGCTACATAGTGATACTCTGCCTCAAAACAACCAACCAACCAACCAACCAACTAACCAAACAAACAAGCAAAAATACCAACCCCCCCACAAACTGGCATTTACTTAAATAAAATAATGTGAGTACTTAGGTAGTATATGATCAAAAAATTGCACAGATTATAGATGCAAAATTCCATTCACAATAGTCATATGGCGGTTGTTAAAGCTATCTACCTAACTCTAATACCAAACAATTTAAAAATATTGACATGTAAATTTATAGCTTGAGAATATGGAGAGATGTCATGTTAGCTGAGCTCACTGGTCTGCACCTGTAATCCCAACACTCCAAGGGCTAGAGGACAGCAAATGTGAGGCCATCCTGGGCTATAGGGTAAGCCCTAGCCTAAACAAATAATGCTTATAATGGAATTATAGTGACATCTATAGGACTCCGGTTATAAGTAGTAAGAGCCACAGAATTAATACTAGTGGAAAAAGGACTTTTTACTGTAAAACATGAAAAAAAATCAGAAAACTTATTCATTTTCCTTACTTAATATTACACATACTGGTTTCTAAATACCATTCACTAAAAGCTAAGGCTCTTTTGGAGAAGTGGTTGATTCTAAAACCAGCACAGGGAAATTAGATGGGCTTGGAACATCGTGTGTCAGAAAGGAAGGCACACAATATGATAGAGAGCTACCTGACAGCATATAGGATGGTCAGTACGATTCTCCTTGAGATGGGATCTTCCTACGTTTCCCAGCTTGGTCCTTGTACTGTTTTTTTTTTTTTTTTTAAAGGTAAGTATTAAAGCTGTTTGTAGGCTACTTAAGTTTTTTGTACATTTTAAATTTATTTGAATCTATACCCAGTTTATTGAGAAATTTCTTTGGTTTCTAATATGTACGCTGCTGCTGCCATGGGTGTGTTTGGCAGCTTTATGGCACAGAATATGGAAATAACACAGGTAACAGTAAATTCCTGTTTCTGGTATCATAGTTTATATTAACAAGAGTGTTGGCCAATGCCATTTGGGATCAGTCAGTCTTTGTGGCTTTCTCATATTGAAATCTGATTAAAATGTTTGCTCGCACTTCTATCAGAGGATGAGTAAAATCAGTGGCAACACATGTATGGGGATTTCTGACTCCCATTTTGACTTGGGTTTGATACCAAGTGCTGAGGCACTATTTTCCTACCCACAAATGCCCTCTTCACCCTTTCACTTACCTATAGTAGGAGTAGTAGGTCTGCTACTAACAGCACCAACACTTAATCTAGGAACTAGTCTTCCTTGGTTAGTTCCCTAGGGGATTTAAAAACAAACTGGTTTTAACATTAAGATTTGACACCTAAGCTTGGTGAAGAGTGAAATCATAATTGTTGGTGTGAATTACTACTGCAAGAATGCCTTGATTTTTTTTTTTTTGACACAGGGTCTCCCTATAGCTCACTTGGAACTCACTATGTAGAGTAGGCTGGCCTTGAACTCACAATGATCCGCATGCCTCTGCCTCCCAAATGCTGGGACTACAGGCATGTGCCACCACGTCTGGCAAGAATGCCTTGGCTTTTTAAAAAAATAAATAATTTACTGAGAATTTCATACATGCATACAAGGTTTTTTGATCAAATCCATGCCTACTCCCTCCCCATCACTTTTTTCTGATAAGGTCATGAACTCTTTCTTCTTCATTTATTTATTTTTATGGAGCTTTTGGCTACTCTAACATTCCCCCCTCTGAAGAGGTAGAATGCCTTGTTTTTATTTTGTGTTTTCTTTCTTTTCGTCATGGTACTGGAGATTGAACCCAGGGCCTTGCACATGCTTGGCAAGTTCTGCCACTGAACTAGATCCCCAGCTCTTCTATCAGTGTTTTAAATCCAACATTCAGAGTGTTTGCAAATATATATGAATAGCTATGGCATGATTTAATTCTGTATAGTATTTAAGTAGAATCTTATATGACTGGAGATAATGCTAACTTCCTTGTATTATAACATTTAATTTTAACTAGTCAATGTTTTATCCTCCCCAATTAAAATTCTTACAGCAATGTTTCAGAAAACAAGGGAAACCTAAGGTGGGAGTACTTTTTTCAGGGTGAGCAAGCCTGAGGAGATATTTCAGAAAAAGGCATTAAGTCCTCATGATGTATCATTCATTCTATTATTGGATCTCACTGGGAAATAAAGCCATGGTATACTGTAAATACTGGGAGCTACCAGATCTGGGAATCAGTCCTAGCTTTGCTACTGGCATGTGTGAGCTCAGGTTCAGTTGTCCGATGAGAAAAAAAAAAAAAACACCCACTGGATTAGATGAATAATAAACTGTCTCCTGACTCTGACAATTAAAAACGTCTAGTAAGTTATTTTAACCTTTAATCTTCCATGTCGTCTCCAGAAATTTGTGTTTTATGTTTTCCTGGCTCCCCCACCCTTAAAAAACTTTTTTTTTGAGACAGGGTTTCATGTAGCCCAGGATGGCTCTGAACAGCCAAGGCTAACCTTGAACTCCTGAGCCTACTGCCTCAGCATCCCTACTGCTGGGCTTACAGGCATGAGCCAGCACACCTGGCCAGAAGTTCTTACCTTTCTGATTAGGGACTTCAGCCTGTAGTTTGGAGCTGTTAAGCAGTATCTGTCAGGCGGCAGTCTAGGTCCTGCATATGGCTTAATCAGTGGCAAAGGGGTTTGATTTTTCTGCCTTGCAATATCTAGTAAAAACTAAAAGAGAAAAATCATCATTAGAAATAGAATTTTAAAGGTATAAGTAAAAATAACCACAAAGAAATGTATGCTCACATCTCTTGGGGGAGGAGAGGTAAAAGACTGATCAGCTCGACACTGGATTGCCAGTCTCACATCATCTGCATCAACAGTAGCTTTCTTAGCATGACTTGAATAAATTTTTGCATCATCCAGTATTGTAGTCACATATCCTTTAAGAAGAAAATAATTTTTCTTAAACATATGAAGACAGCTTAATTTTTTTTTTTTGTGGCAGTGTCTCACGTAGCTGAGGATGACCTTGAACTCCTGATCCTCCTGCCTCTACCTCCAGTGCTGGGGTTACAGGTATGTGTCAGCAAGCCTGGCCTGAAGACATCTTATTGTTAATGGCTCCTTGTCTACTTGTCTACTTTCTGGAAACTATGGATTTTAGTTTCAAGAGCTAACGGTACTATCCACTTGATATGTTTAAAATAGACATTGTGTCCCCTACCTAGTTTGCGCTCCTTTTTAATGCTTTATTTCTTATTATTTAATAACAATATGATTTTGAGGAAAGTGCTCTTAAAATAAATGGTCATTTCAAACTCACAAGTTCAGCAGAGTTTGGTTAACTTACGGAAAGCAAATTCCAACATTTGATTTATAACCCTTGGTTCATATTCTGTGATTCCCATATCCTTCAGGATCTGTGCCATCACCTGTGGATTCAAATAAAAAATGCCAGATGCATGATGTAGGTACTGAAATCAAGGCTGGACTGCAGGCCTTTCTGCGTTTGATACAAGGTCCCCTCTCTGGGCTCCAAACTGCTACTCCTTGTCCTACCGTGTGAATGTCATTGATCACACAAAATCATTCATACACTCTAGCTCAGAACTTTATTTTAGCAGGGGTGGGGGAAAGACAGAAGGCCTGGATTGGCTTTCCCGGCAGAGGTAGGGGTGGGGGGTGGGTCCGGTTGGTTGTCATTTTCGCAGGTGGCATTGAGGGAAGCTAGCATCAGAACCCTGGTCACATTCAGGGTTCAGATTGGGTGAGGCGACAAGGCAGAGGACTTGGGAGCAGGGGGCGGTCCGGTGCTAGCGGGACAAAGCCGCTCGTGCCCCTCAGGAAGGGCTCCCCAAGAGCAGGAGGACGGAGCCCTGGAGCCTGGGCACCCTGCCGCCCTCTCCCTGCGGCCTGGCCGAAGCTGGGCAGCCAGCGGCGCGCGAGCCCCCGGCAGGCGCTCAGTACCTGCGCTGCCCAGCCCGGACGGCCACGCGCCCCTTGCGCTTACCAAGGCATCTCTTGGTGCGTTCTTAGGAGGCGCCATCTTGCTGGACTCCATTTTCTCTATCTTGTAGTCATCGGGCTCCACCCCTGTGGGACGGAGGGCGGGCTCGGCGCCTGGCCTCAGGCGGGGGCGGTTCCTAGCCTGAACGACTCCAACGATGTGGACCGCGTCGCCCAGCAGGCCCTGGGATGTAGGGCCCACAAGAGCGGCTTCCTAAAGGCACCCTGCAGGTTCAGAGAGTGTGCTGCCCAACTCATCTCCGCTTGGCCCAGCCAAACACCCCTTTATGATCACCCTGGCTGGAGACTGCAAAAGGACCTTTCCCAGGACCTCCCTCAGCGTGAAGATGGCGCTGTCAAACACAACCTACGCTTGCATTTGAATGCCACATGTACAAGTGTAGGACCTTGAGACCCTCTTCATTCACCCACTACCCCCCCAATCCCTCCAGACTCCCACTAATTGCTCTTTTAAAAGCTTCTGTAAAATGCTTGGCTGCTGCTTTAGACATGCCTAGACATGCCCTGACCCTCGCCTGCTATCTTCTCCCCTCCCCCCCTTCCAGGAAACTATAGATTAAGCAAGCCAGGGCATGAAAACTGCCCTATAAGGTAAAAACGGAGACTCCAGGCCCCACAGATAACAGCACATTCCACAGCCCTGAGAATAGCACCTACCAATAAGAAACTTCCAGGGCTGCATCTTATACATCCAATCAGTTTAAAATTATGTTGGCGCGCGCAGGATCCTTGAACCAACCAAAATGTATCTTTGGTATCCCTCTCCTCTCTTTGTGTAAAACCTATAAAAGGCTCCACTCTCCCTTACTCTGGGCTCTCAGCACGGATCTGTTGAGTTGGTGAGGTCTGAGAGCCCGAGCTTAAGCCCGAATAAACCATAAACCTTTGCTTTTGCATTTTGGTGTGTTGGGTCCTCGGTGGTCTTTTTGGGGTCCAGTGGATGAGGTACAACACAAGGGGTACATTTTTGGTACATCCCCAAATTTGCATGGGCCATATTTATACTATGGAATTATTTGCTGCTGATCTGACATTCAAATTTATCTGGCCATCCTGGATTTTTATTTGCTAAATCTGGCAGCTCTGTTCTCAACACCGAAGACTGGTGGTGAGGTGTTTGGTCAACTCTTGTCACCCCCCAAGACTTGCCCCCCTCTTCACACCGATGGAAAGCTAAAGTCTTTAACTGTCTGCAAGCACCCTACCTTTGTCCACCCCTTCTTATGGTCTGATGGGCTTCATCCACCTGAGGTCCATGCAGGCTCCTTCCTTGCCTCCCAGATTGTACACCTCCCTTTTCTTAGAACCCATCAGGCATTAGGGGGCCTGCAAGATGACTCAGTGGGTACAGGTTCTTACCGCTAAGGCTGACAACCTGCGTTCCATTCCCGGGTCCTATGTAGTGGAAGAGAAGAGATCTCTGTAAGTTGTCCTCTGAAGGCTGCACATACGCCACGTGGCACAAGCACCGTATGGCATGTGCCCCTTTAAAAAATAGGTGTCAGTTAACTGTCTCGGGCTTAAAATATGTCAGAGAATTCTGTTGTTCCTACATTCATCAAGTGCTCTACTCTCCTTCAGCTTTGAAAATGTTGCCATGACCCCCAGACCAGAAAGGAGTTGGCAGTCAGGTTGTCTTTTTTTTAGCCCGCTAACTAGCAACAAGCCCTATCAGGGGGACCTCACAATATTACATCACATTGGCTTGTGTCTTGGCATCTAGTTCCAGTGCTGTGACGCTAACAAGTCTAAGGCCAACAGGCATACCAAGATTATTACAGGTTTAGGCTGCCCAAATAGGGCCTCCCAATTCCTTACAGCTGGAGGAATCTGTTACTTACAACAAGTGTTATTTAAAATTCTCCAACAGCGTTCCTTCCAAAATTTAATTTACTAGGAGAGCAGTTCACCTCACCAGCTCTTCAGAACCTCAAATAACTCAAACCAGGCAGACTCACCTGACAGCCAGGCGCTCACCCAGTTCCTCATCCATTGCCCTCAGATATAGGGGTTAGCAATGTTATTTCTGGTGGGAGCCTTCATTCTGTAATGACTTTTCCCTGCTCTCACAATACTGACCAATTATCCTCTTTTAAATAAGTACTATTTGTACATGGTATAAAATTAAAAAGGCTTTAATCCCAGCACTCGGGAGACAGAGGGAATCTCTGTGAGATCGAGGCCAGCCTGGGCTACATAGTGAGTGCTAGGACATCTGGAGCTACAGGAAGACCCTGTCTCAAAAAAGACAAATAAATAAATTTTAAAAATACATAATTAAAAATTAAAAAGAAAGAAAACAGTGGTTTTCGACTTTGGCAGAATCTGCATTGCTGTGTAGTTTTTAAATTTTGTCTAGGCAATTCACTAATAATACCTTTTTTTATCTTCTTTCCCCATTAGAACTTATTATACTATTAGGGTGGCCAGCCTTTAGAGAGCCAACCCAGGACACAACTGTACTGGCTGGAAAAACTCATAAGATAATATGTAAGCAGTAATTGCACACAGTGCTATTAGTTGAAAATCAATGTTCATTTGGATTCTTTGTATTTTTTCACTCTTCTGTTACATAAATGACATTATTTAAACAAAGCAGTAAGACTAACAGTGGCAACTGGTGGTAATTAATATGTCCAAAAATATAGCACTATTTTTCACAATATTTCTGTCTTTGATCAGTAAGTCTTGGATATTTAAATTTTGTGATTCATACTATTGCACCTTCTTAATATATATAAGATTAAAAAAGGGAAATA